GATGGATGGATGGATGGATGGATGGATGGATATACAAAAGGTTTTATATGCTTCTTGGAATTTTTAAACAAATTTTTGCCACGCATGTAATACGGATGTGGCAGTGGTTGCATTCATTTTCGATTTTCGATGTCATTCGTGCATAAAATGATTACTTGGCACAAAGAAATCTTGTATCTATGTATCAATTAAATAATTTCGCTTTCATAAATTATTAATTTTATTTTTCCTACAATCGGGTAAATGATACACATTAAATAAATAATCTTTGTCTCACAGTGAAATACATTTAATTGACATAGTTGTGCTGCATCTAACATCTAACGCACACACAAATATCTATATATATATATATAGATATATATATTTATCTAGAGATCTAGAGGGCAAGCGGTAACCAGTTTTATGTATTATGTATTTGTATAGTTTTCTTATGGCATTACGATGTGATACCGCATGTGATAGGGAAGTGAAAATGCATTATAGCACCAATAGTTTCCTTTTCACTGGAGATGCACTTTGAATTTGTATTATTAATAATAAATGTTTGCCATTTGCGGCTCCTGTTCGATTCGTTAAATACTTAATAAAGAAAAAAGGGAGAAAGTTTATTGCAATGCGTGTTCGCATGTTCGCTTGCACACCAATCATTATCATCCTAATTAATATGACATTGATGTCAAAGATTGTAAACATTCTCAGGATAATGAAATTTATTACTGTGATCTGCATTAAGAAGATAATTGAAAAGCATATGGAATCGTTTATCTCATTAATTCTAATTTCATTCTATATATGTAGTGCAAAACTTACTATGCTGCGGCGTCCCAAAGACAAGTGATTTCATCCTTGAATTCTCTTTAACCGTAATGCACTTTCGATGAAAGCTTACAAATGCAGCTTAAATGATCATAAATTCGTTATTCAATATTCATATGTTTAATGGCATCATCGCGCGTCAACTCGATAGCAGTCGAGATTTCAATCTTTGCACGTAGCTGACGATTAGAGATGCGAGTGCAGAGGATGCGAAAATGCAATTCGATAGAGCTTTAGTTAAACGTAGCAAAGATTGTCATGTTAATCCGGTTCGCATTATGTATGTTGGTTAAATGTTTTCATTTATGATATATGCAGTTGTGAACATCGATTAATGCAATGAATAATGTAAGACAACGTATTTCCATGTATTCTGTGAAATTGTTTGCGATACATTGTAGTAAGTTTTTCGTTACATCAATTTCGATGCTTACGATGTTTTCTTTGCAAACGTGCAGAATATCGCTGAAAGTTAACTATATTTTAAGGAAAATTAAAAAAAAAAGTCCTTTTCAATCAATCGATTAGTTATGTATGTAAAACGGCAGCTGGGTAAACAATCTCAAAAGCATTCATAATATGGGAAAGTGGGGGGGAAGGAAAGCAATGTTTTTCTTAAATGATGAACGAAAGGAAAAACATTTCCCATCAATGTCTTCTTCTCTTTTACTCTACACTCCAACTGGGTAGTTAAGCAAAAATGCCATCAAACGGAAATATCTGTCGAAGGTTAACCGGGCAAGGTTTCGCGTACAAAATATTAGCAATGATTTCCCCAAATGCAGTTGCAATAAACAGTAAAAACACATTATTGCGTACGTTAATTAAAGTTTATAGAGGAGAAGGCAAAAAAGGGCACAGCTAACTTCGCGGTAACCACTCAAGCATGTGTGACGTATGAGTCCGTATGAGAGTACAAAAGCATGTTACACCTGTTACCACTGAACAGAACTATCGAAAGAGAATAGATTGTAGTGAGTAGGGAGTTTGGGACAACGTTATTTATCTTTATTATCCGCACTACGTTTACTACCTTTATTACGGGCGCGATAAGTTCAGTTAAAGCGAATACGCAACTGAATGAGGTTTTGGATGGATGTTTACTAATTTTTTAATATCATGGCGTCTAGAGGTTTCATTCTTTGATGAGAGGTTTCGGATTTTGAAGTGTTCAACATCTACTCGATATGCAGACTTAAAGAGTTTTAAACTCAGTTAAAACACACTATGTGAGATGTCTCTTGATTCGTTTTGCCGCAACCGAGAAATGCGCACATTTTCGTTCTTTATCATCTAATAGAAAAAACTTGAAGTGATTTATGGTAAGTTTGCATTAGAGTCCCTGCGTAAAGCTAACGCATGAAAATATGATGACGCGAACACTTTTTGTAGCTTACAAACTTTGTTGATGCAACGACGGCAATAAAAATTATATTCTGCAGTTCTAGGCGAGTTTTCTATACCCACTACTTTGTACTTTGAAATAAACACGAGATCAATACAGTTTGAAAACTCTTAAATATTGGGCGGGCAAGGACGATTTTTTTCGTTTTTGGGTAAGTACTGGACACAAAATGTGCGTGCAACTTTTCTTCGTTGTATCTGATGTTGCTTGTGAGTAGTAATGAACAAGAGAAGTTGATATTGCTTTGTGGCCGTTCCCTTTAACCAACTCCGCCTACTTTCTATACCGACTTGCCACGTTTCTATCATATCTTGCATTTTGTGGCTGAAAGAATGTTTGCAGATAGACGAACAGGCGCCTAGACACGCCTAGGTCGATTCAAGATTTGGTTTAGTAGATTATAAGGTGTCTGAGAAGTTCACTTCTGGATGTGTTGCAAACTTTTTTACAAAATTAATACGTTGTTATTCTTCGACAATAGGCGAATGACAGTACATATGTTACGTATGCGTAGTGCATTCAAACGCCAAGTTGTTAACCTATCAACGTCTATTATCCGTTTCGTTAAATCCACTTGATTTATTACAGACACAAAAACACTCAACAGTTTGTTGCACAAGGCCAATGAACATTCTCCTATTGTGCGGTGTTAGTGCAGCTACATCCAGATACCGTGACGATGACAGTTCTTGACAAATTTACATCATTACTTTCCAAGAAATTTGTCTCGTTTGTGAAGGAAATTTTCTTGAAATTCTTTTAAAGTTCGTGTACTTTTGTAGTTTTTCACCTTAGTGCTTCTTAAAACCGTCTGCTTATGAATAATATTGATAATGGGTTAATGTTCGAAAGGAGGTATAACGCGAACAATGCCAATAAGTGAATCAGACAGTCTCAAAACTATTGAGTTGTATTCCTTGAGGAAGAATAAATGCTGAGCATGTATACTGTCATTCTTGAGCTCTCAACATACAACTGCCAGACAAAATTCTTCTGAGTCAGACGATTGATTTTCATCCTTCAATGCATCAGTCAGGAATAGTTTAATGCGATTTTGAACTGGCGACATAGTTCGCCTGTAATATACTACTCCTGGAAAATACTGACTGTCGGTTGACTCTTTTTGGCAGCGGGCGACCTTTATTTGCAAGCAAATAGCGCCCTTTGCCCTAGAGCTTGTGAAACAATAGCTCCATTGAATGAAAAGCTTAAACGAAAGATTTTTGCCTGAGAGCTTTGGCTGGCAAAATTTCAAAGCATTCATAGTGCAGCTTGGCCTTGATAGTGTACACGTCTACCTTCAACGATTTTAAGCTATTTTTAAAAGAAGCCTTTCGAGACTGCTTGTTCCATTTTTCCAACTAAGAGCCCATAACAGGTTTAACAGAAATGAAACAAAATCTTTTAATAAAATTATGTAACGTCATGGTGGTAACATGTATGCAATAACGGATGAATTGTGTTGTGTTTCACTTTTCAATATTTTTAATTTGTATTAAGTTACTACTAAACTACAACTAAAGATAGTCACATTAGCGATAGTAGTACAAGGGTTTCTTTTTAAAAACAAGTTCCGCTTTGACCCCTTTAGTCGCGCACCGATTGCATTGTTACACACCTTGCTCCTTAGTCCGAGTTACACAGAACACGTTGACAGAACTTTCATTTTTTTGTTCTGTTTTTCTTATGCTTCTTCGAATCACGTTTCGCAATGACGTCTTAAGCATTTTAATGAATTTTTCTATTTATATGCGTTAAAAAAAAATATAATAATATATTTAAGGAGTAATTTCGTTACTTTAAAATGTCATTTACATATAAATGGAAAGAAAGAGAGCACACCAAGCGCTATTTTAGATACTGACACACACACACACACACTTGGCACACAAACTCTCGATGAACTACGAATGAATTATAATTGCATTGCATCGACGCGCGCCATGGAAACATGAATAGTTATTAATTTTTTGGCGTACATCAATGTCACGGTAAAATGTTTAAATGGTTAAAAGTGCATCAAGCTTGAATAGTACTACAGTCGTGACACACGCTATCTAAAGGGGAAATGAGAAATCATATGACTACGAATCCAGAATAACACTTGTTGTCATTACACGCACACACACGCATACATACATACATACATACATACACGTACAAGTGATTTAATGTTATTAGCGTTCTCTTAAATATTTAGTTATCTCTTAAATGCATAAACGGTTTAACGTGTAAGCTAGCCAGTCTCACTACTACGTCATAAAAGCAACAGCTGGTTTGCGCAAACGGTTAAAGGCTGCCGGCTAAGTTTGGTTTTTGGTTGAAGCATAGCTTTCTCTAAAGTCTGGCTTCGGAAATAGTTAAGAAATGTTTTTGCCATCAGACGGTTGCTGAAAGCGGAAAAACACCAATGAAGTAAAAATATCGTTTATAAGAGAAGAACAAAAAAAAAATAAATAAATAAATAAATAAAAACAAAAATCTGGCACGCGCTACTGTCTGTCAAATTACAATTAAATCTAAACAAACTGACATTTTAATCGGTCAAGCATTACTTGCTTTGAATAGCAATAACGGTAATCATACAAGTATTTTTTTTTTTGCCTATTTGAAGAAGTATAGATGAAAAGAAAAAATATTCTCCTTTTTTTTTTAAATAATTTTTAAAATTAAATTTTTTCATTTCATTAATCTTTAAATAAATATATATATATATATATATATATATATATCAAGTTATTTAAATAAGAAGAAAAGAAATCGTGCTATGTGCTATTTAAATGAAGACACACAAACAACATGAGAAGTGATCTGCCAAAAATTAATATTCGTAGATAAAGAAAATTTTTGCGAAAACGTGAAAAAGCTGTTTTCCGTTGTGGTCGATTTATTTAGTTAAAGTGAAAGGAACGCAATGCGTTCATTTACAGTGTCATGATCATGATGACTATGATGATTGTATTATCAATGTTGACGATGGATGCCCTTGTTGCGCATTTGGCATAATTTACTACGACAACGAATACCTAGAGGGAGATCCTGGTTGGGAGGTTTTTACTAAGTGCGAAACGTTGTTAAATTGATTGAGTAGCCTTGCACGCACCTACTCACACATACGCTTATTAACATACAAACTGTCACACTTTTCCAGTGGCGCGGTGAGTGAGTGAGTGTTAATTTCTTGTCCCGCGTATACCTTCTAGCCTGAGTTGTTGTTGTCTGTTAAAAAGTTAACATTTATATTGCATGACTTTTGTTGCTCTTTTTTCTTTTTTTTCTTTTTTTTTTTTTCTTTCCTTTTCCTTTTGCATTAGTGTCTGAAGCAAGTACAATAAACTTAATACACATGTATATTTACATGTATATGTACATGTACATGTGTGCACATTACACACGCGAACGCGAACAGAAAAGTTAAATCATCTCTTAGCCGCTACGTGCCTTGATATGCGCGTTTACGGTTTAAACTTTTCAATTTCGTTTGGTTTTTGGACAAGTTTTGAAGGGCATTGTTCGCATTTCGTTTCAAAATTGAAAGTAGAAGCGTGAGTTTTGTTATGGCTTTTTTTTTTCTTGTAACTTTTGTTACGAGTGTACGTAAGAAAGGTGAAATTTGTGTTTGCGTTCAACTTTTTAATTGCTCATGATCCCTTTTTTGTTGTTTTCCTTTCTTTTTCTTTTGCTGTTATAATGCTTCGGAATGAATGCAAACGAAATAAATACTAAATTATTCGCATGATTTCTCAACATTATTTTAGAAATTTTAACTATAAAACGCATTACTTGGCTAACGATCATCGTTTATGTCTAGTTAGCTCCTTTAGAAGATAAGCGAATAATAAGTCATCATAATCACATTGGTGTCCCGACACTAATTGTTTTGGTTTTTTCAAAATTTCTTCCATTTGCGAGTGTTGCTGATTGGCTTATGAACGATGCGAGAACATCAACAGCCCTATCAACCTTATGTCACATGAATTTATCCTAACGAAAAAGTGGTAAAAACAAGTCTCCAGTTCAACTAACTTGCTTTGAAGAGAGAGCTTTCTAAAGGAAGATGCAGAGAATTGCTATAACTAAGAAGACACGATTTTTGTATCTATAATATTTCTTCTTCACTTCTTTTTCAAATTTAACTGCTTCCTCTGACAAAGTTAACTGATAGTTAAATAATGAAGAAGTGCAGGCAACGCATTCGTAAGTCTGGCTTAGCTTGCTGTCAACATAACCAACACTTCAACATAAATATAAAATAAATAAGTGTTTGATGGTAGATACTTTGTTTTGTTCCTCCAGGTCTATCTCTCAAGCCTGTGTGTCATAAATCGATATATTAGGCTGGCCATGTTGTACTCAATTTCCACAACAACAACTTAACTAACATAGGTTGAAACATACTCGCCGTCTCTTCAATATGAAAGTCATTGCGATATTTGGTCTTCTTTTGTTCAGCGATAGCTGCACAGTTACATCTTTAATCTGTAACGAACGCGTGTGAACTTCAAGAAATCAATTCGTGTCAATGAACACGATTTTGAGCAAAGAATTTTTGACTCTTGGTTTGCTCTCATCGATCACCAAACGTCGAAATATTTTAAGCTGCAAATTATTCTGGCGCTGAAAACCCCCGCATTGGTTTATTACATTTCTAATGAAACAAAAGCTCATATGACGAAGCATTTGATTACGTATAACCTATAACACATATAGCATATAAAGTGAAAACCTGTCAATATTCGGACGACGACGTTAATGCGCATCACGATAGATTTCTTTTTGTTAAAACAACCGCGACAAGCTTACTGAAAAACCATGAATGATTTGATGAACTTGTCCCCGCACTGCCAGCTCTTATTCATTCCTAATAGCTCTCACCTTTTAAAGCATACGAGCGCACTTTTTTCTACTCTCTTAGAGGAAAGAAAATCCAAGAAACTTGCAACTACAGTTACAATCTTGAGATTTCCTAAGAGATGGAAGAAATGCAAAGGAGGCAGTCATTGGTTTTAAGAAACTTCCGTATAAACGGATAACAATTTCTTTGCATGGCTTGAATAATTTAATTGAAATTTGGCAAGTTTAGCGTGAAGGCACCTGTCACATTTTATTTTACGACAACATACTGCAAATATTGCATTTCTTTGAGCAGAATTTTTGTTCGTCGTTTACGCATGCATCGCTCCATGCATCATGTGCAGAAAACAATAAAGCTGTCAAACCTTTCAAATCTCTTTTATTTGTTTTTCACATATTTTCTCCATACGTCAAATGTAATATAATACAATATTGGCATCAGATAGCAGTAATAGTTAATAAATGGAATCGCATGCCACTGAGATCAAGCAGTGGTGTATCTTGTCTTTAGTAGCAAGCAGCTCTATCAGCAGCAGCACTTTTCATTAGGCAGGTTTAAGTTACTCTCTCCCTCTTTTCATTGTGGTTCAGTTGTTTTTGAATTACTATATATATATATATATATATATATATTTCCTGCTATTAGTGCCCTAATCAATGCTTTTTCGTGCGTTACGCGAGGGAAGTTTTAAAAGCCATTACATGACCAAGGAAGTTATTGTATGCAAAAGTGCCGTGAGGAAGGAAACAATCTGTGCGAATGCCATGTTCAGAGGTTCAATGCGAATACCTAATTGTCCTAATTGGTCGGATAAAATGCTAGCATTTAATAAAGTGTTTTGCACTTTTCTTACATATTCGCTTAAAATGGCGAATAATGTGCATTTGCTCGGACACTTTTTCATCTATTACTTTATTTATTGTATGTACGAATGTAAACGCTGACCGATGGCAATCACATGATCTATGGCATGTTAATGAGTTAAGCGAGCTTCGCATGTTAAGTTTTTCAAAGCAAAATAGTATAAGACACGATGTTTATCAAGCTAAGCCAAAAATAAATTTCCTCTTCATTTTGTCTTGAGTTGTTATCTTTTCTTTGTTTTTCTTCTTTTTTTTGTTTTTTTTTTTTTGAAAAAAAAGTGTCACAGTTTTATGAGATGTTTTTTTGCTTGTTTGTCGTTCAATTTCAGTAGCTCTAGAAATGAAAGCCAAATTTGTGAATATTTTTTTATGGCGGCCATCCAATCAGTGTCGGACTCTCGCTGATGATGACGATGATACCTTAAGTCTTTCCATTTGATATGCATTTTGTTTTGCTTTATCTCTCTTTACGCGAATAAAAAAAGACAATTATATTTAAATTTTAATTTTCATATGAAATTTCTCCAGCATTTGAGCAAGTATGTAATTTGAACAAAACCGTAAGTGAGGAAAGGAAGTAAATGTCTAAAGCGTTACGATTTTATTGCATAATTATCAATTAAAACCCACAGGTTTATTAGGATCTGAAGGGTAATAAAAAACAAAATTAAAATTTCCAAATACACAATACAATGCTAGTCTTTACACATGAGTTTGTATAAGATCTTGGATCTTCACAACGATGCCCAAGGCTACTAGAACCTGTTCTCTTAGCTTCATAATCACATTTCTACTTTGGAGGAATAACATCTTCCACGCCTGTGTGTGTGTGTGTGTGTGTATGTGTGTGCATGTTTGTAGAAAGAAACCTCGACAGACTTCGCGTATATTTAGCAAAGTAACAATGGAAACATCCAATATGGAGGAAATAGGGAAACACTAGCCTTTGCTGAACTGCATAACGTCTTCATTAAATATACTATATGAACTGAAAAGCTCCCGTAGCTATACAAATAGTCTGTGCCCCCTGGTAGGAATAAACGTCCGAATTTACTAAAGAACTCAAGGCGAAAAAAACAGCAAGAATTTGTTCAATGAAAACAAAAACAAGTCATGCAGCAAAACTGAAAAGCGAAAATTCCTCAACGAGGAACGAAAATTAATTTAAGCTTTAGAAATGGCAAGGAAAGAATGCGCTTTTCCTTATAGCTTGATCAAGATTTTGTATTGCTTGTCGAAGCTCTATTATTGCTTATCGTCTGTGGAGCGTACTTTCCTCAAGCTTCTTCTGTATAGCACAGATATCCCTTCGAACTTAATTCATCGTTTTTTTAGATATTGTTTGCCCATTTGTTTGTACACTTTTTAAAAATTTCCCATGAGTTTTATCCAAGTGAAAGGGTTTCTTCCGTACTGACTTAGATAGACCATAGATCATTTTTCTTGTTCTAACCACTTTTTTGCTTTCCTGCCTCAATAATCTTCTTTTTGCACGAGTTCGACCCGTCCAACTGTTGCCAGCAACAGTGCTATTTAAAGATAGCGTCTATATTTTTTGTAACAGTTTTCTGATCATATCCGGAAAAAGCCGGTAGGTAGCCTTACACTTTCCTTATAATAAAGCCAGAGAGTGTGTTTAGCAAAAATTTTGAAATCTTTTTCATTATATTGTAAAAATACGTTACTTAGAGATTTGGATCGAGTATACGTTATCTACATGCCCATGGCTATATCTACATATAAAAATGGAACAAAGTGGAGAGTGTTACTGATCATTTTTCGCATACAATCTGGTAAAGCTTTACATTGTTTGATACGATTTTGAGAAGAGTAGTTTAATTTTACTTTAGTTTGTGTGGTTTTTATGTTTCTTTTTTTTTTTTATAAATGCTATCGTTATGCATACAAATGGTTTTCACGCGCTTCAATATAAACTTAATTCTTGAAATAATACCAATAAGTACGATAAGGAAAGTGGGAAAAACTGAAGAAAGCAAATAGAAAAAAATTAAAAGTCACTTTTTACATATCCAAATACATAATAATAACAATGCCTTCGGATACGTATGCATCTATGCACATACATATTTCAAACATTCATTTATGTATTTATGACTTTTATAAGTCCATATATCGATTGCAATTACCATTGAGGCACTTACTGCATGGTGGAGAGGTTGAAGTGGATTTTTGTAACAAATCTTTCAGTAAATAGATAGAAAGTTCCTGACATTGCCACTGTTTGTGTATAAGAAATAAAAAACCAACAAAACTAAAAATAATATAGAAATAAAAGCAACGACAACATCGATATAATAAAGCAGGAAAGAAAATATGCATATAAAAGCAAATACTTATAACTTATGTGTTTGTGTTTGTGTTTGATCACGCAGCTCTCTCTGTAGTAACAAGATTTCAAGTTTGCAAAGAATTTCCTTAA